TGGCCTGGGGCGGGGCGGGTGGGGCCAGCTGCCATGGGCACGTGTTCCTCCTCCGGCTCTGCCGAGACCAGCCACAGCCATTTCTCTTCCCCTTGCCTCGCAGGTGAGTGGCTCGGGGGAAGGGGGGAGAATGAGCAGAGGCACCTTTGGGCTTTATTGCGGGGCTGCTCCCAGGACAGCAGTCCCCCCCCAGCTCAGACGAGCTTTGGCAGTGAGGGGCCGGGGCTCTGGGATTCCCGTAGCGCTCAGCCAAGCGCAGGCCACGGGCCGTGGCAGTGAGGGGCCAGGGCTCTGGGATTCCCGTAGCGCTCAGCCAAGCGTGGACTGTGAGCCGTGGCCGTGAGGGGCCGGGGCTCTGGGATTCCCGTAACGCTCAGCCAAGCGTGGACTGTGAGCCGTGGCCGTGAGGGGCCGGGGCTCTGGGATTCCCGTAGCGCTCAGCCAAGCGCAGGCCACGGGCCGTGGCAGTGAGGGGCCGGGGCTCTGGGATTCCCGTAGCGCTCAGCCAAGCGCAGGCCACGGGCCGTGGCAGTGAGGGGCCAGGGCTCTGGGATTCCCGTAGCGCTCAGCCAAGCGTGGACTGTGAGCCTCCCGTAGCGCTCAGCCAAGCGCAGGCCACGGGCCGTGGCAGTGAGGGGCCGGGGCTCTGGGATTCCCGTAGCGCTCAGCCAAGCGCAGGCCACGGGCCGTGGCAGCGAGGGGCCAGGGCTCTGGGATTCCTGTAGCGCTCAGCCAAGCGCAGGCTACGGGCCGTGGCCAAGAGCAACCTGGGCTCTGGAGCATCCTGGTTTCTGCAGCCTCAGCGCTTCTTTGACTGTGGTGGAGGAGGGAGCAGAGCCGCTGTTGCCTTCTGAGAGGGGTTCCCTGTCTCGGCGAAGGCTCGCTCCCTTTTAATGTCTTCTCCCAGGGCTCCGACCCGCGCCCGCCTGGCACTGGCCCCCCTCTGCGCCCCTTCCCAGTGCCCGGCCTCCAGTCTGTGCAGAGCGCTGCTGCCCTGCACCTGCCACCCCACCGCTGCCGCATCCTTCCCCGACGCCCTCCCCAAGCTGGGGCTGGCAGGGCCCCCACGCTCCAAGCTGCGGAGCGGGC